AAAGGCGCTTCGACCGGCTGTGCTGTGAAGGTGTGCTAGAGGGGAAGGTGAGCCACCCACTCTTTTTTCCTCAACTGGCTGGTGCCTCCCGGGCAGCACTTGAGAAAGAAAAGTCGTTTGGGACAGGTTGATTTAGATTTTGTTTAAGTCGGAAACTCAGAGCCATAAAATGCTTTAGCTGGAAATTCGCGTCATTTGTGAAAACATCTTTGGTTTTAGACAGATGAGAAAGAAGCTTGCTTCGCCGCCTCAGGCCAGAGAGTAGAGAACCGTCGACAGCATCTGCCATGATGGGGAACACTGCTGCCCACACGTCTTCCTTCCCGAGCAGCTGTGGCAGGTCCCAAGAGACGGGCAGGAGATGGCCCTCGGAGAACGCTCGTCCCTCTGGTTACCGGGGACCACTGCCACAGCACTCTCTTTAGTAAGTTCAACTTGACACCCAGTGGTAATAATCTGTGAGAGGAGCGAGTGTGAGTTCACATCCCAAGGCGCTTGGGAGCTCCCAGGCTTGAGTCCCTGAAAATAAATGACTTTATAGTCTCAAAATATCAACGCGATGTTGTGTGTGAGATGCATTACCAAATGCCTAGAAAGGAGTAGGGTCTCTTTTGGGGATAAATCTTTAAAAATCCTCAAAACTAGGGAAGCTCGTGTGGTTTTGGTTAAGCATCCGACTCTTGATTTGGCCTAGGTATATTACGGTTCATGGGTTCTGCCCCATGTCGTTGACAGCAGATCTTGGGCTTCTCTTCTCTCCTTCTCTCTACCTCCCCTCATACCACACACACACTGTTCGCCTCTTCCTCTCTTCAAAATAAAGAATCCAAGCATTAAACAAACAAAAACACGAGACCTGGTGAGATCTGGAAACAACCCTCAAAAAAAGAAAAACTACCTGCTAACCGGGGCCTCGTGACCTGAGTAGATGCAACAGTCTCTGGCACACGAGAGTGTCGTCGTTAGTAGAATTAATAAGTGGGGCAGTAAGTCAATTAAAATCAATTTGCAGTCACTTCTAATTGGAGCCAAAGGTCTGTCCAGTGAAGGACGTGTGTTCTGGTGGTTCATTATGAGCACGATGTGTGAGTCCACAGGGTCACAGGAAGCTCCCCGGCTTTCTTTGTGAGGTTACTGTGTAAGGCAGAAATCAGCAGTGAAGCAATCCCAGAGACTGGGAGCACTGCAATGGAATAGAGGATGCCTGGAATGCTTCCCAGCTGATGGGTTTTGATGTTCTGCAAATGAAAGCTGGGAAAATAGGAGGGAGATTCTAGAAGCTGAAAGAGGAAGGCCAAGAAGTCTCCAGGGCTCATGAAATCATTCTCCAGACTCCAGCAAATGCCCTCAGGGAAAAAAAAGAGTAATAGGGCAACTCCAATATTGATTAGGTTACGAGTCCACCTGATTTGGTCCCAGGTCAAGATCCTGCATGGTTTGTGAGTTTGAGCCAATCAAGCTCTAGCTGAGAGTGTAGAGCCTGCTTGGGATTCTCTCTCTCTCTCTCTGTCCTTCCCCCCCCAATAAATAAAATATTTTTAAGTAAAAAAAAAAAGTAGGGGCTTGGGCTATAGGATCAGTTAAGCAGTCCGACTTCAGCGGTCACGCGACTGGTCCCGTGGAGTTCGAGCTCCAGCATGGCTCTGGGTGATGGCTCTAGAGCCTGGAGCCTGTCGATTCTCATTCTCGGTCTCCTCCTCTGCCCCCCCTCCCATTCATGCTCTGTCTCTCTCTGTCCCAAAAATAAATAAAGCGTTGGAAAAAAAAAAAAAAAAGTAAAAGAACTTCCCTACTACCTGAGGTCCAGGCCCAGGCTCAGCCTCCTAACCCCTACCCCAGAGTGGGGATCCTGACAACTGCCTACTTCCTCCACGGCCAACGAGGGAGAGAAGAGCACTGTGGCAATATTTAAAAAGAGAATTGGCAGGAGCACTTTAGTGGGTCAGTTGGCTAGCCATCTGACTCTTGA